GTTGGCTCCTTCAAGCAGGGCTCTCTAACTCTCACTGGAGCATTTCGCAGCTGAGTGTGAAGCGGTTGGGATGAAGATCAGCACCTCCAAATCTGAAACAATGATCCTCAGTCAGAAAAGGGTGGAGTGCCCTCTCCGGGTCGGGGAGAGAGATCTTGCCCCAAGTGGAGGAGTTTAAGTATCTTGGGGTCTTGTTCACGAGTGAGGGCAGGAGGGAGCGAATGATCGACAGGAGGATCAGTGCAGTGACTGCTGTGCTGCGGACTTTCTATGGGTCTGTTGTGGTAAAGAAGGAGCTGAGCCAAAGGGCGAAGCTCTCAATTTACCGGTCGATCGACGTTCCAACCCTCACCTATGGTCACGAGCTATGGGTCGTGACCGAAAGAACGAGATCCCGGATACAAGCGGCCGAAATCAGTTTTCTCCGCAGGGTGTCTGGGCTCTCCCTTAGAGATAGGGTGAGAAGCTCGGTCATCCGGGAGGGGCTCAGAGTAGAACCGCTTCTCCTCCACATCGAGAGGAGCCAGATGAGGTGGCTTGGGCATCTGATTCGGATGCCTCCTGAACGCCTCCCTGGTGAGGTGTTCCGGGCATGTCCCACCGGGAGGAGACCCTGGGGACGACCCAGGACACACAAGAGAGACTATGTCACCCAGCTGGCCTGAGAACGCCTCGGGATCCCCTGGGGAGAGCTGGAAGAAGTGGCTAGGGAGAGGGGAGTCTGGGCTTCCCTGCAATAGCTTTTGCCCGCGCGACCCGCCCCAATAAGTGGTAGAAAAAGGATGGGTGGGCATCTCGGATGGATGGATGGATGGATGGATGGATGGATGGAGGTCCATGCACATAACATTGACAGGTAAACTGCAATCTCTCCCTTTGCCGATGATGTAGTCAGCCATGCATGTGAAATGGGCAATTAGAGACGCCTTGCATCCACCGTTTGTGTGTCTGTGTGAAAACCATCCCATTCCTACAATAGAAATGGGGATGCTATTAATGCTTTGACTTCTCCTTGTGGATGTCATCAGGAGACACGGCGTTAGTTTCCACAGCTACAGTGATGATACACAGCTGTATATTGCCGTGTCTCCTGACAGCACAGGGCCTGTTGATACCCTTTTAAATTGTATTTCAAATAGTAAGTCATGGATGGCAGGTAATTTCCTACAGCTCGTTCAGGAAAAAAACTAAGGTTGTAGTTATTGAACCTGAAGACCAGAGAGAGAAACGTTTACCCAAACTACAGTTTGGGTAAACATGGGTTAAACCCTCACAACGTGTGAAAAATTTGGGAGTCATTTTTTACTCTGAGCTGAGTTTTATTTCTCATATTTAAAACATAACAAAGCTTGGTTTTTATCATCTCAAGAACAAAGCCAGAGTCCGCTCGTTACTCTCTCAGGCCAACACGGAAGTGCTGATGCATGCTTTTATTTCCTGTTGTTTCAATTACTGTAATGCACAACTCTCCAGTCTTCCTAAAAAGACAATTCTAAGCTTGCAAATACTGTACTCCAAAACTCAGCTGCACGAGTCTTGACAAGGACCAGAGGGCGGGAACACATCACAACAGTGTTAAAATCGCTGCATTGGCTCCCTGTGTGTTTTAGGATTGAGTTAAACTTGCTTTTACTAGGTTTTAAATGTCTTAACGGTCTTGGGCCATCTTATTTATCTGACCTGCTTTTATCATAACAATCTTCACTGATCCTGAGCTTCTCAGGCACTGGCCTTTTAATTATTCCCAGGGTGAGGACCAAAACACATGGTGAAGCTGTATTCAGCCATTTTGGTCCCCAACTATGGAATAGCTTGCCAGAGAACATCAGGTCTGCAGAGGCTGTTGACGTTTTTAAGAGGAGGCTTAAGGTACATCTTTTTATCTTAGCTTTGAAATAACTTATTTCTATACTTATTTGAATTTATTCATTTATGTATTCATTCCGGACTCTGTATCGGTCTGTCATGGTAAAGAAGGAGCTGAGCCAAAAGGCGAAGCTCTCAATTTACCGTCGGACTACGTCCAAACCCTCACCTTTGGTCACGAGCTATGGGTCATGACTGAAAGAACGAGATCCCGGATACAAGCGGCCGAAATGGGTTTTTCTCCGCAGGGTGTCCGGGCTCTCCCTGAGAGAAAAGGTGAGAAGCTCCGTCTTCCGGGAGGGGCTCAAAGTCGAGCCGCTTCTCCTTCATGTTGAGAGGAGCCAGATGAGGTGGCTCGGGCATCTGATTAGGAAGCCTCCTGCACGCCTCCCTGGTGTGGTGTTCCGGACATGTCCCACCGGCAGGAGGCCCAGGGGACGACCCAGGACACTCTGGAGAGACTATGTCTCCCAGCTGACCTGGGAACGCCTTGGGATTCCCTGGGAAGAGCTGGAACAAGTGGCTGGGGAGAGGGACATCTGGGCTTCCCTACTAAAGCTTTTGCCCCCACGACCCGACTCCGCATAAGCAGTAGAAGATGGATGGATGGATGCATGTATTAATTTGTTCATTTATTTATTCAGTCATTCATTTTCTTCCTCATATTTCTCTGCCTTCCTATGTCTTTTTTAATATCAGGATCATTAGGGTATGTGTGCAAGTTATGTATGTTTGGGTGCATGTGAGTGTGTATGCGAGCATAGGTTTGCTTGTGGAGGTATATATTTGTGTATGTTGAGGGGGGGTGGCCTCCTCTTTTAAAGTTGTAAGTTTGAAATGTTTTAACATTACATTATTTTGTGTTGCATTTATATGCATGAAAAGTGCTATATAAATAAAGTTTGATTAATTTCTTTTTTTAAAGATAATTATTATAATTCTCCGCGACCCTTGTGAGGATAAAGCGGTTCAGAAAATGGATGGATGGATTACAATTCCTCCAATTAATTTATTTCTTCAATGATTCAGAGGGATTGTCCAATGCTGGTTAATATTTATGAATGAAATCCAATGTCGACCACGCACATCTGTGGAGTGCCTTATTTGTCTGCACCTTGATCAAATACACCCAAATCATGATAGACCAACTGCATTATTGCGAGTTTAAAATCTAGTCTACTTTTTTGGAACCAAATGCGCAGATGCACCGGGAGGGTGAGGCACATCTCAAGTCAAATATTTCACACATTTTTCACTGTAGGAAAATGAAACACAAACAATTCAATTAAACCTGGCAGTCAAGAAAAGCGAGACACATGAACATTTAGAGTGACAAAAATGTAACTGTTACACGCTGAAATAGATTATTGCCTCAGAACGAAAATGACAATGCGGCTGTTTTTATATCGAGCGCAGATTACTTCTTCTTACCAACTTGTCGGATGAGTCGGAGCAAGGCAACTTGGTATGCCAGAATGCAGCGACAGGCGCAACATGGCCTCAAACATGGTAGACTAGACTTGCGCTGGCACAAAAGAAGTTCTGCCCATTTTTTACGCCTAGCGCACAAGTGCCAGTCAACCAAAATAGGGCCCTATCTCTCCCGAATGGCCTGGGAAGGCCTTGGGATTCTCCCGGAAGATCTGGATGAAGTGGCTGGGGAGAGTTGTGTACAGTAATTTTACCCATCGTGCTGTTGAACGATCTCACCCATGTATTTAAACAGGATATTTGCAAATTCAGCAATTTCAATGATTAAATCATGTACATTACTGAACTCAAAAAGAAAATTCATATTAAGAACAGAACAGAGAGCTAACACAGAAAATGTAATGTAATTATTATTAAGGTTTTTTTTTTGGTTTGTTTTTTTTTTCTTCTTCACATTCAGGTGGCACTCGGATTCTGCCTCCCAACCATAAGTCCCTGCACATATCGATCCATCCATTATCTGAACTGATTTATCCTCACGTGGGTCACGGTCTTGCTTGAGCATATTCCATCTGACTTTGGGCAGTAGGTGGGGCACACTCTGAACTGGTTGCCAGCCAATCACAGGGCATACCTAAACAAACAACCATTCGCACTCATAATCACATCTATGGACAATTTAATTAACCTACCATGCATGTGTTTGGAATGTGGGATGAAACCGTGGGATGTATCCAGAGAAAACCCACGCAGGGACGAGGAGAACATGCAAACTCCACACAGGAAGGCAGAAGCCCGGAATCGAACACTGGACCTCAACGCTGTGAGGCAGGCGTGCTCTGTTCATTCACTCTACCACTGTCTCTCTAATGTAAGACTATTTTAAGCTTCCCATCCGTATGTTTCGGGAAATTCAACTCACATTTGGACACGTTACAAGTGGGAATGGAGTCAGAATATTTCGAACAAAAATTCAGTTGTCAAGTTTTGTAATGTGCTTTTCATATGGTATTCTCGAGCTAAAACTTCGATTTTTATTGAACTAAAAAGAATAAGTAGCAGCGTGTCTTACCTGCAAGTAGCATGATGAAACCTGCGTCCTTTTAGAAAACACTTATTGGGTGACTCATTACATTCGCAGGAACATTTTGTTTTATTGAGCGGCTGGTGCCTTGGACAAGTCTTGCCACATGTGCACTGACAGGTATCCATGTTGTAGATGTGGTTTTGTGGGCATGAGTGGTAAGGTGAGGTATTGCAGACGCACTGGCAAGTATTACGGTCAAAGTGGCGGTTAGTGCCACAGTGTTGAGTTGGATCTAGGCGCTGACACACACACTGACAGGTTTCCGCATCCAGTTCCTTATGTGGGCCACACAAATTTGCTGAGAATGTATCTGTAGAGATGGGGGAAGGGAAAAACAAGAAGAGTTACACATCTGTATTCTTATATTTTCTTGTTTCATTCATTGTATCACCACGCACAGGCCAATGTCTGACTTGAATTTTCCCAATATGAATTTTATGAGGCGTTTTAAAAGTTCTTTATTTTTGTGTTTTTGGATCAGGGGGTTGTGAAATAGTGAATTACTGGGCAAAATTTCACAGTACCAATATATGCCTTGTTTTATCAAGTCTATAATGGCTATAAACATGAATTTGTAATTAATTAGATGAGTAGCAACATCAAATTTGGTATACACTTTCATTGCTTCGCGGATGACACCCAGCTCTACCTCTCCAGCAAACCCGACGCATCCCTCCCACCCTCCTCTCTCTCACACTGCCTTTCAGAAATTAAATCTTGGTTCACACATAACTTCCTCAAACTTAACAGTGACAAAACAGAACTCCTCCTCGTCGGTACCAAATCCACCCTACACAAAACCAACAGTTTTTCTCTCACTATTGATAACTCCACTGTGTCCCCCTCCCTTCAGGTCAAGAGCCTGGGTGTCATCCTCGATAGCTCACTATCGTTCCACTCTCATATCAATAACATAACCCGGTCCGCATATTTCCACCTACGCAATATCAACCGTCTCTGTCCCTCTCTCACCCCTCACTCCACTGCCATCCTTGTCCACAGTCTCGTCACCTCCCGTATTGACTATTGCAATTCACTTCTC